ATACATATACATATATATATATACACACCCACACACAGAGTACATCTAGCTTAGAAGAAAATTGAACTTTAAAAACAGTGTAAAAGATAAGCATGTGCTCTTTGTACAGATAGTACATATTAAACCACAAAGGAATAAGTTGAATATGAAAATTTTTCTTTTAAAGTAAGCCTGAAAACAGCCATTATCTTTAGTTCAGCTGTTAGGGATTAATTTTCAGCAAGTATGTATTCAGTACCAGTCTTAAAAATGTGTCTGTAACCTGGATGAAGATAATGTTCTTATTAAAAAGCAGAGGCTGATGAAATGACAGTTATAGCACTGGTTTTTATCAGATGTGCAATCTTCAATTTGCTTGTTGATCTCAAATGTTCTATGTTTACTTTAAAAACCTGATCTTTAACAGATTGAACAAGAAAAGTTGGCATCTATGAAAAAGCAAGATGAGGACAAGGATAAGAGGGATAAGGAAGAGAAAGAAAGCAGCAGAGAAAAAAGGGAGCGGTCTCGGAGTCCAAGAAGGTACAGCACCTGCATACTGAATGTTTTATGAGTACATTTGGTATTAAGGTAGAGGTAGCCTATATGTAGAAAGATGCACAACTGAAAAAGGAAGTTTTCAGGGCATTTTTTCAATCATAAAATTTTCATGGTGATCTATGACTTACCTCTAAAGTTTTTCATCTTTTGTTTGAAGCAGATCATCATATGACTATAATAATTGTCTCTAAAATCTTGGTGAATTAGTCAACCCTTAATTCCTAAATCAACATCTAGACTTATCTTTCGTATTGCTTTAGTTTAAATACAGCATTTAATGTGCTCCAATTTTTTTCCCCTTTTTTCTTAGAAATCTGTAACCTTTCATATTATACTTACCTAATTCCCTGTTGTTTTTCTTAGATGATTGTACTGAGCCCAAAAGAGATCATTTGCTTTCTTCTTACCATTGAGACTATAGTTATGTTCCATTTTTTTTAATGTATGTTTTCTTTTTTTGTGTTTTGAGGGGGAGATAATTAGGTTTATTTATTTATTTTTAAAGGGAGGTACTGGGGATTGAACCCAGGGCCTCATGTATACTAAGCTCGTGCTATGCCACTGAGCCATACTCCCCACACACCCCTGCCCCTCTGTTTCCCATTTTTAAATCCATGATTCAGCTTCTACTATATTTGTGGTGAATGGTGAGAATTCCATTAGGCTTTTCATTTTTAGGGTTCTGCTAATTTCTTCATAAATTTTCTAGAACTAGTAAAGAGAAGAGGTAATTTCTTTATCCCCTTCATTTATATATTTGACATTAAAAGCTGCTTGGCAGGGAAGCAATATTTCTGGAGTTAGGCACAAATCATCGTGGTTACTACTTGACTATTGATTCACCAGGTCTACTGTTTTACTTTGAGTTAGGGAAACTACTATTGAGATGGAAAACTATCTTCTGTTCCAAAAAAGCTATCTTACGCAAGTTTGATACCTTTTTTTTCTCTTCTGAAGAGAATATTTCTTTACTAGTTATTTTTCTGGAATACGTAGACACTACCTGATGAACTCTGGTGGAATCTGTCTAATCCAGACTCTGTTTTGTTGGATTTGATTTATTATTCTGGTGTTTTCCTCCCTTTTAAGCATCTTTTTCCTCTGAAAAGTTACTCTTTGGTCTCCTCATCTCTGGGAATGATTTAAGAACCCAAGTCTAGAGTCTTCAGTCAAGCAATCCTCTGTTATAACTGGTATACTGGAGAATGTTACTATCCTTCATTTGCTTGTTTTTCTGTTTTTCTCTTGGCCCTTTTCTTAAGTAGATCGGATAGGATATCTTATTTCTGTAGAGAACTCAGATATAAATAGCAATGGTGTAATTAAAAAGATTAATCTCACTTATCCTTTTGACCCTCTTCCCCAATCCACATTATTCCAAAAAAACCTGAAAAAAATTGCTTTCATCCTAGACGCAAATCCAGATCTCCTTCCCCTAGAAGACGATCTTCCCCTGTCAGGAGAGAGAGAAAGCGCAGTCATTCTCGATCTCCCCGTCACAGAACCAAGAGCCGGAGTCCATCCCCTGCTCCAGAGAAAAAGGAAAAAACTCCAGAGCTCCCAGAACCATCAGTGAAAGTAAAAGAACCTTCAGTACAAGAGGCCACTTCTACTAGGCAAGTACACAAAAATTCACTTATAAATATCTTGGTTTAGGCCGTTAAACGTAAATATGATACGTCTGAGTTAAAAACAAATTTACTTGATTGTTCCTTTTAGATACTTTTTAAATTATAAAATTAGATTGTTGGGGAAAAAATCAAATTGTATAGGAAATTATAAGTATATGCCCCAAAGGTGACCACTGCTATCTGCTGGTTGTGGTGTTTCAGGTTTTTTGTGTACTGTAACTTGCTCTTTTCCGCAATACTGTGGACAGCTTTGCACTTTAAAATTGTATTTGGTTATTGTTAGTTGTTCACTGGTTTTTCATTGATATACAAAATATACTTAAAGGCTCACATTTTTCCTGCTTTATATTCTTGGCGTTTGTTGAAATGGAGTTTACATGTACTTTTTAGAAGTCTTCATGGATTTTGAAAACTTGAAAGAGAGAAATAACTTTATTATTTCATTGTACTATGACTTAGGAATCTCAGTAGGAGAGGAGACAAAATAAGCTTTTTATTTTTCCCACAGTGACATCCTGAAAGTTCCCAAGCCTGAACCTGTACCAGAGCCTAAAGAACCTTCTCCAGAGAAAAATTCCAAAAAGGAAAAGGAAAAGGAGAAGACCAGGCCAAGATCTCGGTCACGTTCCAAGTCAAGATCCCGGACACGTTCTCGTTCTCCTTCTCATACTCGACCTAGACGGCGTCATAGATCCCGATCAAGGTGAGTAGTTGCTTTAGTATCTGCGGTAGATCCTAGTTTTATGTGCTACTTTCCTTGGTAGGGTTAGGTAAATTATTTAAAAGCAGTAGAAAACAGCACAAATGTACTTTGGACTTCCAGAGAGAATTTGACACTTTCTCTGTACCATAAAAATCTCTACATAAACAGAAAGTTGTATCCCTTGAAATCCATTTTTTAATGTGGCTGTTGAGAAAACTATGTCAAGGAATTCATTCCTTCCTCATGATGTATTCAGCTTCTAATTCTGTTCTCAGATCATATTCACCTAGAAGGAGGCCAAGCCCAAGAAGGCGGCCATCTCCTCGAAGAAGAACTCCGCCAAGACGAATGCCTCCTCCACCAAGGCATAGAAGGAGTAGATCTCCAGTGAGACGGTGAGAGTTTTCTTTTCTTTTTCTTTTTTTTTTATTTGGAAGTGTCAGGTGTATGAAAGTGCACCATGTGTTTGCTTCAGGCTAATCTTTGAATTAGTGTCCTCCTGGATAAAAACTCACAAGTAATGGTAGATAATGTAAAGAGCCACCTCATTTGAGGTGTAACACTGTTATTTATGCAATAATAAATGCTATTCCAGTGTTAGAAAATAAAAAATAAGAAATTCACCATCTTATTGGTGATTCTTGTTAACTTTACCCTTTTGGACCATACCAAGAAATCCTGTCAAGTAAGGGAATTGGCCACCTTCCCTGCTTGGCTTTCAGTTACCACCTAGCTTTTGAATATAGATGACTGAGAGTCAGTAAACTGCTTTACCAGTAATGAAGTAATCTATTTGCATCATACCTTTTAAAATATTTTTTAATATTAAAGAACTAATGAGTACTTATTATAAACAATTCAAACAATGTGAATTGAAAATTACCCACAATCCCACTCCATAGATATAACCATTATTAGCAGTTTGGTGTCTATATTTGAAGAGACTAGGCATAAAGGTGTTCTTTTTTAAAATTACTTTTAAATTAGTATAAGGTAAAATGTTTGGATCATCCGATCACTCTTAAAAAGATTGTTGCTACATCTCCCCAAAGTAGAGGCATGGTTCATTGGTAGTAGAGTTTTGTACCTTCTTGACGATGCATTTCACCTGTGTTTGGAAGGAACTGATGATTGCTCTTCAGATTACATTAAGGACAGAATATTTTGTATTTGAGTCTGTAAGGTTTTTTTCAGGGCACTGAGTCAACTTAGAAATAAAAGGGGAAAAATAAGTTCCATAATTTTTGTTGTTGTTACTGCGTTCTGAGGTTTTTCAGAGTCCCTTTTTTTTTTGAAAGTAATACTTTTCTTTGGGGAGGGGTTGTCAGGATATATTGAATCATTTTTTTATAAGAAGTACTAAAAATTGTAGAAATAATGGTACTACCGATAAGTGACTAAAGATGTAAATGTCAGTTTAGGCATCACACTTTTTCTAAAACTGATCTTTTCTCCTTAGGAAAGAAGTAATACTGATGCTTTCTAGTACGATATTAATGGAAACAGCTATTTCTTATATTGGAGTTTTGCAAACAGCATGTTTTAATTGCTTGCTGAGCCATTTAGCAGTCAAAATAATTTGCAGATTGTGTAAGATTCCCTTTCAGCCAGTTTTTATCTCACACTTAAGGTAGGGTTTCTTTTTTTCAGGTTCTCAGGAATTCTTCCGCCAAAGGTGAATTCTGCAGGTACACATAATTGCAACAGAACTTACCACAAAAATTTTGCCGCAGAATTCGAGAGGCCCCTGCTTCTAAGTTTATGTAGCTAAATGAATTCCTAATCTTGCACATCTTTTTTTTAAATGCAGCCCAGAGGTTGCTTGACATTGTGTTACTAAGTGGAGAATACTTTGCTGGTCAAATTTTGTATGCAAACTCCAAAACACTCATTCCTGAGGAAGGAAGAGACTGGTTTAGTATTGTATTACAGCACTCAACTTATTTTATAACTGGAAAGGCAAACAGAAGCAGTTATCAGAATAAGTTATTTATAGTTGGTCTCAGAGCTAGCTGTTTCCTGTTCTAGGTTTTGGTTTTGTTTCCCATTTTTTATTTAAAAAAGATCATTTATGTGCTTAGCTACATAAACTCAAAAGTTGGATAAAAATAGCTGTATTTTTGTATAAACTGTACATGCCTGTAAGGTCATTATCTGTAAGTATGCAGTTAATGAGTATGAATACTTTATTTCACAGAAGGCGACGTTCATCAGCATCCTTGTCTGGGAGTAGCTCGTCTTCATCTTCATCTCGTTCCCGGTCACCGCCAAAGAAGCCTCCAAAGAGGACATCCAGCCCCCCTCGAAAAACTCGTAGGTTATCTCCTTCAGCAAGTCCTCCGAGGCGAAGGCATAGGCCATCACCTCCAGCAACTCCACCGCCAAAAACTCGTCATTCCCCAACACCCCAGCAGTCTAACCGTACAAGGAAAAGTCGTGTTTCTGTTTCTCCAGGGAGAACTTCAGGTAAAGGTAAAAATCACATTCATAAAAACAGTGTATTCTTTCTTTCTTCATTTGGCTACAAAATACCTTGTCAGTTGTTGCAATTCCCTGTTCTTCAAAGTGTGAAGTAACTGGGTAATACTTGTATGCCATGGGGTTTTTGGTAAATACGCTTAGAGGCTCACCTTTTCTTTCCTGCTTTACCTTCACGGTTTGTTGAAATGGAGTTTGCATGTAAAAGTGTTTTGTTTTTAGCAGTGCCCTCTGGCGTTGAGTGGGTGGAGAAATGTACACCGTGGGCTGTTTGAGTTGGGGTAATTTAACAGTCTGCTGTCATGGTAAGGGATCATTTTGTTACTATGAGACCAGTTAACTTTTTTTTTTTTTAACCCTGAAGATTTTTTTGTTTGATATCTTATTTAAGGACTTCATATTCTGTTTTAATTCTTTCTTGGCCACATTGTACTCCCTAGGGAGGGACATAGTGTCCTCCTAAAGGGTGATTTGTTTTTTCAATTTAGGCTCTAGGCAGAGTTCTTCTGAGTGTTGTCCTTGTTTTATTCTGCAGACTGATTTCTGAGAAATTTATGATCTGTGATCTTGCCAGGCAAGTAGAATGTTTAGTTAGTTTGAGTGAAGGTTGCGATCCATGGGGTTTATTTCTTTAGTATTAAATACCCATGGAGGAAAACTATGGTATGCATTTGAATTGGGCCTCCGGTGCTTAGGGTTGGAATGATAAACACAGCCTGATGATGGGTAAGTAGTAGGGGAGGGGGAGGTCTTAAAAGGACTATTAACAGTAATTGGGTTTTAAGGAGCAATATGTGGGTTATTATATTCTGGGGTTGCTCTAATCATATTAAAATTTTCAGGTTATAAATGAAGAAAATGGGGATGGGCAAAATCTTGACTGTTTTTATGAAATTGAAAGCAGTATTTTTTTTCTTTAAAGGGGAGTAATTAGGTTTGTTTGTTTGTTTATAGGAGGTACTGGGAATTGAACCCAGGACCTTGTGCATACTAAACAGACACACTACCACTAAGCTATACCCTCCCACTACAGAGCAGTATTTCTAATCAGCACCCTGCTTCTTTCTTTATGTTCACCCCACCCCCACCTCTGTCCCCAGAATCCTGCAATGTGGTAATATCAGAAAGGCAAATTTTGCTTTTTTGAATGAACTCTATTACTGTGAGGTATAGACAAGCTATCAGAGTGAAAGGAAGAGTGGGGATAATGGTAATTTGTAAAGAGTAATGTATAGGTTTTCTGAATTTAAATGGATTAATTTGCTGATAACATTAAATTTTATGTGGCCATTTTTGTTGCATTGGCCCTGCAGACTTAGGCAGCTGGATAAATATAGAGAAACCTTTTTAGATCTTCAGGTTCAGGCTTAAGTATGGGAGGGGGTGTCTTAGGATTGCTTATTTTTGTAATACCATGTCTCATATTTTTGTTCATAATAGTTAATAGTCAGTTTGTCCAAATCTGATGCCTCTTGTCCTGACCTATTTTTCTTTACTGTGAAGTTTATGCACTTCTAAGTATTTCTTTTCTTTGTCTGGAGTCAGAAAGTTCTCTAGTAAAAAAAAAATATTATGAATGTTCCCACCTGTTACATTGCAAAAACATGTCAAATTACGGTTTTTCTATTTACATCATATAGCCAAAGGGTAATAAAAGTACTGCACAAAACTGAATCCTTGTTTAATAGGTTGATTATTAAGTATTACTTGTTACCTTTGTAAGAGTCTGCACAGGTGCCAGCCTCTTGTTTTTGATATATTTTCAAGGGGACTGGGCTGCTGCCTTTTTGGAAACAAGTCATAGTGGGTATGTACATAGGAGAGAAGTCACAGTGAAAGACAAAAGATTAGTTACATTCCTGTGAATTATGGGACAGGTCTTCCGTGTTCAAACAAAACCCAACCGAAGAGATAGACTGTGGGCAGTGTACTGAGAGGCTACCTTTTATTCACTGAAGCTGAGTATTGATTCTAACTACTTGGAAATAGCTTTTTATAGTAAAATGATCCCAGCCTCTGTGATGAAATTTCAGAGCTTGGAAAGACTTCAGAGATTGTCATCAAGAAACAGGTTCTCAGGTTAAGTGATTTGGTCAAGGTCAACCAGCCAAGACTAGAATTTGGGTTCTCATTCCCAGTTGAATAATGTAGACTTAGCCCAGCTTTCCTGCCCCCAGATGCCTGTCTTGATTGCTAGAGGAGGGTGATAGAAAGCAGGGTAAAATCCTTTAGCTTCTGTATCTGGTAGTATGATTTCAGAAATTCCTTTTTTGTAGTCTCTATTGCTAATAAGAGCAGTGATACCATTGAAATGTGATAAATTTTACTTTTGTATTTCACGTTGTCACCAATTAGGGCTTTAAGATACTGCTGTTGATAGTGGGCAAATGGAGTGGGAGGGAGACAGGAAAAGTATTTCAGAGAATTTAGAGGTAAATTATTAGGAGTACAGTATACATTCTCATCTCGAAAGGATCTTCAGGAAGCATTTTATAATTGATGGCATGTCAGTTGAATTGGCATTATCTTAGTACGTAAAGAATGCTTTGAGATCAGTGGAATATTTAATGAAGTATGTTTACAGAGGATCTATACCTGTGGTGATGGTAATAATTTTGAGTTTAGATCAGTGTAGTTGTATAAATTGTGCTCTATAGACAATGATTATTTTACTAATTCTAGTCATAAAGTGACTTATCTTTACAAGTGATCTTTTGAGCAAGTCTGCAAGATTAATGATTAATAGGACTGTTGAGGTAAATTTTAAAATTCTGGTTTTCCAGTTGACTTGGGAGATTTCTTCATGCTGGAATGATTCTGCCCTTTGAATACTAAAAATAAAACAACATTGACATAAAAATCTTTTTAAAAAAAACTGTTTAAAATCGTATGTAGACATGCAAACATTGAGGAAACATTTATGTTACTGGTGCTGTGATTCAATCTATTAAACCAGAGTTGGTTTATAATGGATACTTACCTAATCATATTGTTATATAAACAACAATTAAAGACTATTTTAGCAAAGGCATTGTTGAGAGATTAAATCTGGAGAAAACTCCAAATAGGTGTTTCTGTGGAAGAGTGGGGATGTAATGTTATAGTTCAGTTGTATTATTTACTAAGTAGGCATTTGCCAACTATATAGCACATATAACCATATTTTTAATGTTTAAGGGAAAATGCATTCTAACATCCAGACAACCAGCTTCCAACCAAACAACCAGCTTCCAAGCACATTCTCGGCTGTTTGGAAATACATTCTTCCAAACACATTGCCAGTTCTCTAAGGTGGTTCTTGGACGTGTGGGTTTATAGATAACTGGATGTCTATAGTATCTTCAAGAATTGAACATTAGACACTTAAAAATGAGAATATTGACCCAAAAAATAGCTTCTAATCTTTAAAAATTCAAAGGAATTCCTATTTCATTTCTTTGAATTTGTTAAAATACAAGTTTTAAACTCAAATCTTGCTGCTGTATTTCATGATAACTAATTAAGACCACTGGATTCTTTACTCAATCCAGTAATTTGTCCAAAAGGCTTATTATGTAGAATTATTAATAAAATGCTGTTAATTTTTAAAGTATACTGGTAAATTTATCTGTTGGATTACTTCAGCAGATGATTAGATTGCTAAATTACTGCCATTTAAAATAAGCCTTTACAGAATTCTGGACACAAGTGTGTGTCAAAGGAAATGTATCTAAATTCTAGGCTAAACATTCCATGGTCATTGCTTTAATTAAATAAAACAAGTGTAAGGATCCTGAGGGGATCATATCGTAAGAACATAACTTGTCTTCAAGTTTAGTTATTAGAGGGATGTTATCAAATGATGTTTCAGGTTAATCTAGGGTAAGATTAATGATTATATATGTATATACTTTTGATTTTAATTGAAGAAATGGATGAATAGTGTAAATAGACAGTAATTGTTAGAAATTAAATCCTATGCCATAGAAATAGAGTCTTGGATTCAAATCCTAGTTCACTTAAATTATCTATGTGGCTTTGGTTGGGGTTTCTTTTCTTTCTTTTTTTAATAAAGCTTTGGAGAGAATCCTCCAGCCTAAATATTTGATATTTTTGCCATTGTGAACGTCTACTTTTTCACAGGTAGTTTTAAGTCCTTTATGTATTGGGAAGGTTATGCTCTACATAAAGAGGCTTTAATCTCTTGGGTGACTAATTTGTTCCTCTTCTGAACCAGATATTAGAAAACTTGTGAAAGTTTCATCAGATTTTATGTCTTAATCATTTATCATCTATATTTTCTAAACCCACCTCTAGTGGGTGCTTAAAAGCTCTTATGTTGATGAAGTCTCTGTAATTGAGTTGTGTGTGTTTTAGGTTGTAGGGGAGCACACAGAGGTTTACTTTAATGAGCTGGGTGTTACACATAGCGTAAAGATTGTTCTACACAGAAACAGCAGCTCCCGATTTCTCTTAACTGTTGTTTCTCTTGGGAGAATCTCATTTGAAAATTAAAAATCATTATAGAACTTCCTGAGGCTGTTCACCAAACATTTACAAATCCTTGCTTCCACTTCGAAGAGGAAATGACAACAAGGTCTTATATAACAAGGAACTTTTTAATTGTCAATAAGTTATTTATGAGAATAGTGTCACTTCTTTTTGTACTATTAAGAATATATCTTGTTGAACTTTTCTGGCCAGGCTTGTTTGCAAAGGCTCTGGCCAGTGTCAACATCAGGAGCCTCATCTGCACCGCAGGGGCTGGTGGACCTGTCCCCTCTGACACTGCTGCCCCAGCTGAGGAGAAGAAAGTGGAAGCAAAGAAAGAAGAATCCGAGGGGGATCTGATGATGACATGGGCTTTGGTCTTTTTGACTAAAGGTCTTTAGTAACACATTGAATAAAAATGAGTTCTTTGGTGCTGGGAAAATAAGAAAAGAATATATGTTGTGTAGCTTTCTTTTATATACGTAAATGTTTTTTTTTTTCCCTCTTACTCGTTTTAGTGACAAAACATAAAGGTACTGAGAAAAGAGAGTCCCCTTCACCAGCACCCAAGCCTAGAAAAGTGGAGTTATCTGAATCAGGTAAGTTTTTTGTGTGTTTTTTATTTGTTGTTTTGTTTTTTTAAGCTGAATTAGATTTGCTGCACATTTGGTCATTCCCTTCTGGTTAAAGATTAATTATAGAATATGGCTAGGACTTTGAAGTCAGACCAACCTGTTAGAATCTGTAGCTCCAATCCTTAACTGGTCTTTGTTTTAATTAATTCTTCTGAACCTTATTTTTTTCTTTTTTCATCCCTAAAATGCAGATAACAGTATCATCCTTTAGGTTTTTGGTGATTAAATGAAATTGTGCTTACAAAGTGCTTGGCACCAGCCTGAACTGTCGCAGATGGCTAAATAAGTTTATTTTTATTACATTTGGTGAAGATAGTCTGAATTAGCATTTAAATTGGCATTTTAAGCTCCTTTATTTAAAACAAAAACAGAAACCAAAAAAACCATAGTAGCTGTATTGCTTTACCTAACCAGACAGGTTTAGGAGGCCGTCTCCCAATTCAAGTATGTCACATTTTCTGTATGCGTAACTAAAGAAGCACCTTCTAAATGCATCCATCTTTCAGAAGAAGATAAAGGTGGCAAAATGGCTGCGGCAGATTCTGTGCAGCAGAGACGCCAGTACAGACGACAGAACCAGCAGTCTTCCTCTGGTACGGACACTGGTTACATTTTTCCTATCTGCATATCCTAATAAAACTACTTAAGGTGTAAATATCAGTGAGTGTGCTTAGAATTAGTTTTGTTCCTTCGTAGAAACATGTTAGAGGAAGGGAAGTGTTAGTTTTGGGGTTTTGCTTTTAAGTACTTTCTTAAAACTTAATTTTCCTTTTAAATTGCTGTAGAAGTAATCGATCTTTAAAGTACAACAGTAAAACAAAACAGGAGTAAAAATTGGAAAAGTATGTTTCTCCACTGCCCCACATCTTACTCCCCAGAGGTTTTATTCAGAAATTTTCTGTGTGTATATAAGTATCTGTGATTTAAAAAACAAAACAAAATCCATAGAGGCTCAAGCTGCAGATTATATTGCCTGCCTTTCTAACTTAATACAGCCTGCTAGTTCTTCAGGATCTGCCTCATTTGTTTACTACTGCAGCACTTTTTATTGTAACACTATACTATAATCTGTTGAGCCACTCGTCTGTTTGGATATTTTAGGTTGTTTCTACTTTGTGTGTATGTGTACTTATGCAAGTATATCTGTAAACTAATAGAAGTGGAATTAAATTTAATTTCTGAATTAAAAAGTATGTGCACAGAAACTGATTTTTAAACCAAGTGTTCCGATTTTATTAGCTCAGTTGGTACTTGTGACTGAATCTAGGCACTGCCTTTGCTTTTCATTTATAAAATGGAAACCAAAGCATCCCACAGTGGCATTAAGTCTGTTAAAAGCTATGCAGCTTTTTCAACTCTTTTTTTTTTTAAGGTGACATTAATTGTGGAAATGTTTGAAAATGCATTAAAGTTTTAGACTTATTTTTTATACTTGGGACTTAATATTTTAAGTTAAGGAGACTGTGCAAACAATTGAAGTTTTTCTCTTTGCAGTCTTGGGTTACTACCAGGACTATAGGAAATGTCATGTACATTTTGTTTGATAAATGATACGAATATGGAAGTAAATTATTCAGACCCTAATAAGACTTTCAGTAGCCTTAAAAGGTGCGTAGAGTAACAAGAATTAAGTAATTGCTTGAGATGCTTTTTAAGCTTTACCTAGTTATTTGGAAAGTTACAAGATTCTTTTTCTTTGTTTTGAAAGTCACTAGATTCTTAAGGGACACATGACTTGATGGATTGTGCAGTGCAGATGATTTGTATAGCTTAATTATATAATGTATATTTATGTATACTTGGCTTTCAAGTCATTGGACATATATTGATACTGCCTTTGTTCAGAGCTGATGGCTTGTATATGTGCTTGCTTATATTAGTGGACTTGATTTGCTAATATGGACACTCCATCTTCCAAGATTCAGAGCATAGACTCTTTTAAGCACAGACCTAATGTAAGTTTTTGTTTACTGTGTAATTATAGATTCTGGCTCCTCCTCTTCCTCAGAAGATGAGCGACCCAAAAGGTCCCATGTGAAGAATGGTGAGGTAGGCAGGCGGCGGAGACATTCCCCTTCCCGGAGTGCCTCTCCATCACCTCGAAAACGCCAGAAAGAGACTTCCCCTCGGTAATGTCTTTATTGGTGTTCTGTGGTTGTGATAGAACTTCATAACGTAAGGAATGGGCTGTGAGCTTACTTTAGAATTTGGTTAACTCCTTCATTTCAGGGACTCACTGTAGGAGATGGTCAGATTTTGGGGTATTTGGTTTTCTTTCTTCACTATTTAATGAGAACTTTTTTTTGTACCAGCTTGTCATATGGGTGCATGACTAGAATAGACTAGTTAAATCATAGCATTCACTCCTGACCATCTCTGAGCATCTAAAAAAAAATCTCCATTAGTGATACTTAACTCCATTAAAGTAATTAATTTTATGAATGGAATTCTTGACATTTGTTTTTCTCCACTGCTCTCAGGATGCAGATGGGAAAGCGATGGCAATCGCCAATGAATAAAAGGTTGGTTAGCCACTATTTTTAAATTAGGTTTACATGTCAGAAGTTTTAGTGACTTAATTTACTGTTTAGGTAACCTTATCCCATTTCTGCGTATACAGTGGGTATGGCTGTGAAGTTCCTCAGTTGTTTTGGTTTGATTGTATTTCTTTACACATTGGATTAATGATGAAAGTGTACACTGTTCATTTTAGAGCATCCTTTGAATTTAGATTTTGTGTAGTTATGGTATCTGGATATTTTCCAATAGATAGGTTAATAATGGTTCCTTAGATTTAGTGGGGAGGGACTTTGTGATGACTTTAGGGAAAGCAAGAACTTGGGAGAGACTTTTTAAAGATTTCAAATGACTCTAGGGCTTTGACTCTGTTCAGTGTTTCCTATAGTAGAAAGATATTTTGCATATCTTATGAATCCTTTTTGATCAGCAGTATCCTTATCCTTGTAACCATAAAGCCATAACATTTTAGAGTGAGATGGTACATAGAAATCTCTAATTCAGGCATATCATAAATGAGGAGAAGGCCCAGAGGTAGTGAAGTGAGTTTCTTAGGGTTACAAAGTGACAAAGCCAGATCTTAGATCTGTGCCGTTGACATTATACCAACCATTTCACCATAACATTATACTGTTTTTTTGCTAGTCCTCTGCTGTTTGGGGTCTTAGCTGCCACCAAGTTTCTAAGCATTTATCCTTCCCAAAACTTTCACATTGTCCTCCTTATAGCTCAGTTTTTAAATCTGTGTTGTTTTAGGTAGTCTCACTGATGAGAGTGTTTTCTTGGAAAGGTTCTTTGGAACCGGTCAGCAACCTTTATGTGATGGAGAAAAACAGTGTGTTTATGCTGTGGAAGTAACTAACTTGACAAAAAGAAATAAAAAAAATTTTAAAAATTTAAATGCAAAGGTATTCTGTTCCCGACTATAATTATCCCTGGCTTCTGTAAAACTACTAGTACAGCAGCTAAAAAATTGCTCTACAAAATCTAAGTGATAAAGCTCCCCACCATTATGGTTAGTGACTTTAGAGGTTACCATCAGGTATCTAGGAATTAAGAGTTGGAGAAAGAATTACTTGGAATCACATTTCATTATTTACTGTAGTTTTAAGAAGCAATACAGTCTGGCTTTGAATATTTCATATATAATGTTTAAAGATTGAAAAACACAACATTTACTGTGCTTCTAAATACTTGTCTTTGGGTATGGAACACTTCTTCCTTAATAGATAAAAGGTTGTTTGTCATACTTAGTATAAAAAGGTAGTTGTATCTGTAACTTCTTGTCTTTGTTACCAGCATGGCTAATGAAGTGAGGTTGCTCTGAAGAGGTCACCGCAGAGATAGCAAGCTCCTCATTCTGCTAAGACTTGTCTGTTCCTACATACTTGAGGACTGAGGGCGCCTTCATTTTCTGAGGCTTACTGAAACTGGTTCTCACAACTTGGGTGGGGGAGACTTCTCTACTCAGCAGTTTCTACACACAGTTAAAGGCTTGGGTTGGCATTTGTATTCAGAGTAACTATAAAATGTTTAGCTTTCTTCTTTTTTTTTCTTTTCTTTCCCTTTCTGTTTTCTCTCTTTTCCTTTCTTTTTTTTTTTTTTTTACCTCTGAAATATGTGCCTTATCAGCTCAAGTAAGAAACTATAGCCTTCAGGTAATAGAGATTCCAGTTTTAAGTGATTATCAAAATTTTCTTGTAGTTCTGTAAGTTATGCTAGTCAGGTTATGGTTTTATTTATTCTGTTTGGTTATTTTCTCATATGGAAGCACAGGACATTGAAGGTCATCACTGAAAGGGACCTTTTAGTTACTTATGATAAGTCTTTCATTTACAAATGAAACTGAGACACAGAATAAATACCATTAGTGTATATCATAATAGATTTGAGTCCATTTTTTTAATGAGAGTATTTTTAGAGAAGCCACATAATAATAATAGCCTCTTATGCTGTTATACCTACTGAAAATACATTGGGTGTTCTTTGTATCACATCCTCAAAGTTTGTGAGTGTAAACCTTTGTTTTTCTTCTTTTTGAGTCAAAACCCAAAGACATTTGGATTTTGACTCAAAAAGAAATCTTCATTGCCTGTTGAAACAATGCTGTAGTCCATACTGTTTCTCTAGGTCCCATAGTTGTCAGATTAACCCTGCTAGTAAAGTGGCTTTTCCTTTTATTTTTTTAATTAATAGCTTGATGTCTACATATTGTCTGAAGCTTATCTGTCTTTTTTTTTTAAACTTTTTTTTTTGAGTTATAGTCATTTTACAATGTGTGTCAAATTATCTGTCTTGATATATTGCCTCTTGTGGTTTATATTTTAAATCTGTTCAAAGTGAAGTCCTGGTCCCCACAAGGCATAATAAGCATATTTAAATTGAAAATTAAATGTCATACTGAGTTTCACAATTTTCATTGTCTGTTAATAAAATTCTCCTTGGTTTTAATGAGGAACCAAGACTAGTAAACTTTAGAATATATTTCCAGATTCACAGGAAGCATCAATCCTGTACTGGGCAAGAAATTCAGAACTAATTACAGTTGACCCTTTAACAATATGTATTTGAACTGTGCATGTCCACTTACACACAGATTTCTTTTTTTTCTTTCATTAAATACATACTACATGATCCTTGTTTAGTTGAATCTGGAAATGTAGAGTCCAGATACAGAGGGTCAAATGTAAAGTTATATACAAATTTTCAGCTGCACAAGTTCAATGCCCCTAGCCCCCCACATTGTTTTAAGAGTCAGTTGTACATTATTTGACTACTTGTATACACAGACTTAGCCAGTAGGTGGCAAACTGGCTTGAATTTACTTTATCCACTGGGAGACTACTATGTTAGTCCAATTGATAGAATTGTATTTTTTTCAGGTGTGCTTTTCATGTTGGTTAAGTGTGTAACAGAGCTCAGAATTAAGTTCTGTGATTCTTATGTATATTTTAACCACATTGCTCCCAGTGATGGCTTTAGTGCTCACACAGGTTTGGTCCTTTGTCCTTAGATAGTGTTTTTAGTTAGTACTATGCAACTCTTAAACTATAGGGATATATTCCCCTCCCCCCCCAAAAAAAATCAAGAACTTTGAGCAGTGACACCCAGATTTGGGGTCTTAAATCACTGGTGACTATTAAAATTTTAAATTTCTACATTAGAACTTTGAATTTTTCTGGCTTTAAAGCAGTTGTTCCTAACAAGGAATCAAAGTTACCTGGAGAACCTTTTTAATATATACTGGCTAAACTGTAGCCCAGACCTGGTAAACAAAGTTCACATGAGCTCCCCAGCTGTGTCTGATGTGCATTCCAGTTAAGCAACACTCTAAGGCAGTGTTTTCAAACTTTTTTTCACCCTGCATCATGTTAAGAATGTATTATGTCATGACCTAGACAGCATATTTAGAAACAAAAATTTCACAAAATTTACCCTTACCACCACAAGGAAACATTCTTTTTCTTTTCTTTTTCTCTTCTTCCCCCCCCCCCCAAATCTTGGTTCTCATCAGGGTCTTAAATACACTGTAGCTTGAAAAACGTTGCATTGAGATATAGGGTAACAGTTGCTGCACTTTGAGTTAACAATGATTGAAACTAAATCATTTCAACCACTTAATTATAAATGCTGCTGAATTGGAATCAACTGTAATTCTTCTTTGGTTTAGTGGTAGACGGAGGAGAAGCCCCTCCCCGCCACCCGCCAGAAGGCGGCGTTCTCCTTCTCCTGCTCCTCCTCCTCGACGCCGCAGGTCGCCCACACCACCACCGCGACGAAGGTACCTTCTCATGTGTGCTAATTATTGGGAGCTGGTGAGAGCAGCTTTGAGTCTTTGTGATTAAAATATCTTATTCCAGTGGCATTGCTCCACTGTTTACAAAATGCCATCCACATACTGTACAATTCCACTTATACGAAGAGTCCAGAGCACCCACATCTATAGAGATAGATTAGATGTGCCAGGGTGGGATGGGAATGGGGAATGATGATAGTTGCGCAGTTGTGAATACAGTTGACCCTTGAACAATGTAGGGGCGGGTAGGGGTATGGACCCTCTGTGCAGTGTAAACCCAAGTATAACTTTATGGACTATGGAGTTGACCCTCCATATCTGTGGATTCAACCAACAGTGGATTGTGTACTATTACACTATGTATAAAAAAAAATCCACATAGAAGTGGACCCACGCAGTTCAAACCCGTGTTCAAAGGTCAACTGTAAACTAAAATGTTTGAAATGTATACTGCAAATGGATGAATTTTATGGTATGTGAACCACATATCAAAAAAATGTTAAGTAAGTTAAAAGGCAAAATCACTAGTGATTACAGAGGGGAAATTACTAACTTTACAATGGGGTATTCTTAACAAGGAATCAAAGTCAGCATTCCCAGTAATACATATTGGCATTACGTAATCTCTATAGTATCCTCCCCAGTTATATAGAACCTCAGTCTAATTATTAGGAAATACAGTCACCCTTCTATCCAAGGGATTTTGGTTACAGACCCCCCTCCCCCCAATTTCTAGGTTCTTTATATGATACCTCATACAGTGTGAATACTTTGTAAAATAGTTTTAAATACAGTGTATATGCTTTATAGTTATTAGTGTGTGGCAAATTCAAGTTTTACTTTTTGGAACTTTCTGAATTTTTTTCCTCTTCAGATATTTTTGATCCACAGTTGGTAACCTGTGGATAATTAAGTCATTCTACAAAGTAACTTGCCAGTACTCTTCATAAAATGTTAATCATGAGAGACAGACTGAGGAACAGTTATACATTGGCAGAAACTAAGGATGCACAACTAAATGCAACACAGGATGCTGGGTTTTGGAACCTGAAACAGAAAAAGGACATTAGTGGAAAACCGGGGTGGTTATTAGTATTATAGTTAACACCAAGGTAGCACTAAGGTTAATTTGATAGTTTTAATGATTTTTCTGTTAATGAGATACTAAGTGGCAAGTCTCCACTATTTTTATAGCTCTTCTGTAAATCTAAATGATTTCAAAATGAAAAGGGAAAAAATTTTGAAGAGCATTGCTCAAACACATTACCAAGTGGCTATTAGCGCTGCTGAATGCCTCTTATCTGCCAGGTAAAGGGTTAAGAGCTTTATATGCTTCATCTCATCCTCAGATGATCTTGCTTGGTAGATGGTATTCACATTTTTCAGGGGAGGAAATGGCTGTTCAGAGTTATTAAATAATTGCCCAAGAGCAAAATGGAACTGCACTCTACAGTGTTGCCGAGTGTATGGCCTATTGCAAAGCTAATTTTAGGCACGAAAATATTTTGAACTCAAAAGTCTGAATATTTCAGGAGAAAATTTAAGCATTTGGAACTGAATGTGATACTCAGGTTTAATTCCTGAGAGGCAAGTTAAGTAGGAATTAAGCATTAAGAGGAAGGCCAGGTTGGACTTTCACAGGGGTGCATTCTGCCTGCCAGTAGACTTCCACTGAAAACGTCTTTTGACAAAATGCAAGTCTCTTGGTGGCAGACGGTTAGAGATACCTTTTAAAGCTAGTACCTGTGAGTCCAAACAGCAGTTTAGAGAGGGTACCACATAGAGCTCTTTAAAGCTCAGACTTCATGAGTGCAAGTTTGAATATGGTCAGTAGTCTTGGTAATGCAGTTATCTAGTTACTACATGGTGGTAATGGAGAGTCATAGTTTCTTTAGAGCCATGCAAGATTCTCTTCTCAAAAAGCATTAAATTGACTCTTTGTGGATTGTACTAAGTGACTTGGCAGACTTGAATTTAGTCTGAAAACTCTAAGTTTCTCCATTAACCAGAATGTTCTATTTGTATTCATTCTAGGAGAAACAGGAATTTACTAAGTGATTTTTTACTTTCAATGAGGATAAAGGCATAGCATTTCCACTTAGAAATATTCTCTTTGTCTGGTGCCATAAGTGTGTAGGTTTCTTTGCATTCTATTGCTTTTAGTCTCTTAGACTTTTCAGCTTACTGATGTATTTTTCCTAGGACTCCTTCACCTCCTCCCCGTCGGCGCTCACCTTCCCCAAGAAGATACTCTCCTCCAATACAGAGGAGATACTCTCCTTCTCCGCCTCCAAAGAGAAGAACGGCTTCACCCCCTCCTCCTCCTCCTAAACGAAGGGCATCACCATCTCCACCACCAAAGCGTCGGGTCTCCCACTCACCACCTCCCAAACAAAGGAGCTCCCCAGTCACCAAGAGACGTTCACCTTCATTGTCTTCAAAGCATAGAAAGGGGTCTTCCCCGAGCCGGTCTACCCGGGAGGCCCGGTCGCCACAACCAAACAAACGCCATTCGCCCTCACCACGGCCTCGAGCGCCTCAGACCTCCTCAAGTCCTCCACCTGTCCGAAGAGGAGCATCGTCATCACCCCAAAGAAGGCAGTCCCCATCTCCAAGTTCTAGGCCCATTAGGAGAGTCTCCAGGACTCCGGAACCCAAAAAGACAAAAAAGTAAAAATACTTTATGCTTTTCGGTTAGGAACACTAACTTGCATAGCTCTTTATGTTTGGAAGCTTTCCCCTCCTCCGCCACCAAAATCACAGAAAATAGCTGTAAAATACAAATTTTTAAGGCAATTCTGGTTACTATTCATAGATATTTTTCTGTTTCCAGGGTAGTTCGTAGCATAAGCTAAGTATCATAGAAGTTTACTTGGCTCTTATGAGTATCAGGTTTATTAATACCTGTAAGAACCAAGGGATGTGCTCCCAAACCTAGTTCTGAAGTATACATAGACTATTTCTTGCATGTCTATGTAAGACTGATAAAGGCAGTCTTAAATATAAGGAGCAAGCATTATTAATTTCATACAGGAAGAATCATTAACAGAATGAATAGAGGATTCTGGGGCTTGAACTACTCTCCAGGAGACTATTTAAAGTGTGTGATCTGGTTGTATAGTGGTATTTGGTTGTTTTCTCATAAGAAATATGAGATTTTCGGATATTAAATTTTTTTTTTCTTCTGTTTCTAGAGCTGCCTCACCAAGCCCTCAATCAGTAAGGAGGGTCTCATCTTCCCGATCTGTCTCAGGATCTCCTGAGCCAGCAGCTAAAAAAGCCCCAGCACCTCCATCCCCTGTCCAGTCTCAGTCACCCTCTACCAACTGGTCACCAGCGGTACCGGTCAAAAAGGCTAAAAGCCCGACACCAAGCCCATCACCGGCAAGGGTACGTCTGCCCTGGTTTGGACATCCTTTATAATTGGGTATGGGTCACTTGGAAGTGGAGCATTATTTTCTGTGGTTCAGATGGACTTCAAAAGGAGGTGCAAGTTAAGTGATGGTGGTTTCATCATAGTCTGTGTTTAATATTCTAGATATCTACTAATTTGTGATGTCTAACACTATTAAATTCTGTCATCTTGGTGGTGAAGATTGGACTATATAGAAAATCTAAAAAATTAAAAAATTACCCTTGATCCTATTCCCTAAGGGGAAAAATGGGTTAAAGCATTTTTCCTGTTTTCTCTAGTGTTTGACAGGTTTTGGGATAGTTGTGATCGCACAATCAATTAAAGTTTCAATCTTAGATCATGTCTATTAATATGATTCCACTTTTATAAAGGAAAGATACATCATAAGGAAGAGATCAAAATGTTGACAGTGGTTATGTGTCAGAAGGAGAATGATGAGTGATCTTAATTTTTCTTCTTTACCCATGCTCTTTTTCCTATAGTGGATATACATTATTTCTAAAATAAAAAGTGAACCTTGTAACTTGTGAAATATTAGATGAAATGAAAAGTGCTTTATTGGCCCATATAATAGCCCTGTCTTTGGCTAGCTACATAAATAAGAATAAAACTCTTGTTTTTACCTTGTCATGTTTGAACTGTTTTCCCCCCTTCTGTGAGACATTAATCATGGCAGGTTCCTATAATGTTTGAAATTAGTGATTAGATATCCATCTTAATAGGATTGAATTGTGCAGACTAACTGTATGGATTGAGAAGTTTTAACCAATTGCTTAGAAATGTGAAATTTAAAAATCAAAGACAAGATTGGGTTATAGTGGTGCCTACACGTTCCATGAATTTGGAATTTATACAGTGAACAAACCACCTGCATTCCACAGACACGACATTCACACAAGCTTGTATTTAGAATGTTGGCTATTAAAAAGCCTGCATGTTAGGCTGGTATTGTGGGTGATTTACAGATATTCCCATTTAATTTTCATAACAGCTTTGGGGATTATTATACCCATTTTGGGTTGATTAAAAGGCCTCAGAGCAAGTCAAGCAATTTGTCTGAGGTCAGATAGTTGAATAGGTTTGGAGACTAGAATTCAGCTCAGGCCTAGGTGAGTCCAGAGACTTTTCTTTCTACTGTGCATGTTGCTTGTGCTTGTGTCTGGAGGTAGACCCTGACTCACTCCAGTCTTGGATACCTGACTTGTGGTTGAGAAACCTTGGTTTAATGTGAAGTTAGTTTTTTTCTTGTTGTTTTGTTTTGTTTTGTTTTAATTTATTTTGGTGGGGGGAGGGGAGGTAATTAGGTTTATTTATTTTTTTAATGGAGGTACTGAGGATTGAACCCAGGGCCTCATGCATGCTAGGCATGCACTCTACCACTGAGCTATACCTTCTCCCCAGTTGAGGAAATTCTGAATAATCATTGACCTTCAAGGTCCATTTAGCTCTTGAAGTCTTTGCTATCTGGTGGTTCCTGTGTTTAGGAATACTTGGTGGTGATTGGGCCCTTTTCCTACCCGAATCTGTGGGAAATCCTAAGATTGGTCCATTTGGTTATTCCCTTGAGGAAATAAAATGTTTAGCTGGATAGGATTTTAGTCAGGTTGATTTTATTGCTTTTGTTTTCCTGAATCTCTAGAATTCAGACCCAGAAGGAGGTGGAAAGAAAAAGAAGAAAAAGAAGGACAAGAAACACAAAAAGGATAAGAAGCACAAGAAGCACAAAAAACACAAGAAGGAGAAAGCTGTGGCTGCGGCGGCTGCCCCCGCCGTGGCGCCTGCGGCTGCCGCTGCTCCCACCACTGCATCAGCGCAGGAGGAGCCGGAGGCAGAGCCGGAGCCCAAGAAGGTATTTATGGACGCTGGCTTACAGCGCATGCAGATAGCTAAGCTGTTTGCTTTTGAGAAGTAGCTAAATAGTTTTTTCTTTTAATAATTGGATTCTCAGCTGATAACTCCCTTCTGATCTGCTTCTCCGTGACCACCTACCAAGAGCAGGGGTTTGCTAAGGCTAAAGATAAGAATATGAACGTCATTTAAAAAGCTTAATGTATTTTTTTTAAGAGAACTTTGAGATGTACTTCAGCATACCATATAATTCACCCATTTGAAGTATATGATTTTATGGTTTTTAGTGTATTCATTAGAATTATGCAGCCATCATGACAGTTTGATTCTCCTGTGTGCTCGGCATCTTCCACCAGTGTCTTTTAAGACTTAATGACATGACCTTTCTGGTTTTTTCAGGAGACTGAAAGTGAGGCTGAAGATAACCTTGATGACTTAGAAAAGCATCTGCGTGAGAAGGCCCTGAGATCAATGCGGAAGGCTCAAGTGTCCCCACAGTCCTAGGTGGAAATGTTTGTTATGATGTAAATTTTATTTGGTTTGTACGCAATTCAATTTCAAAATTGCTAAAATGTGTTTGAGCTTTAGACTATAACATTTGTTGTAATAATTGCTAGGTTGAAGTTCACCATGTAAAAAAAGGGCATGGATTTACATTGCAAAAGGTGTCCACAGTGTATTAGTGACATTCTTTCATTGACAGCTGACATAAATTCATTTAGCGTGAACTATTTTAAGCCAAAAAAAAATCTCCTTTTTAAAAAAGGGGGTTTAAATACTGTTGGCATTCATATGGTTCCTTTAAATGCCCCTGGCTATTCCCAGAGGTTTTTCTTTCTTCTTTTTACCTTTTCTTTATTTCTGTCTTTTTTTTTTTTCCTCATTTGAGTCTTAGCACCCGTTTAAGTTATGATGCTTCCAACCTTGTATGGTTTGCAAGCTTGCCCAGAAATAAGACCACTGTTGAACTACCACAAAAGTATAAATGAATATTTTAATGCCACAATCTTTCCTGTTGCCTGTGGAGTCTCTGCTGAAATGAATCAGGATTTGAGCTCTAGGATGAGACAGAAAATGAAAGCATGTTGTTTGCCAGGACACTGTGGGTTTATATTGATGTGTAACAAGTTGATTTGGAACACTGGAATTTCATTCTATTCTGTTGTGTTTTTTTGTTTAAGGCAATTAACTAGCCCCAGGAAGGATCCTTCAGTTATATAAAATTTTGTTTAATGAAATGTCATGGCTCCATTCATAATTTTGTCTTGTTCTTCCAATTGGTATACACAGCTTTCAGAGCTCTTGTATTTGGAAGGCTGGAAGGGCCCAGACTTTGAAATAGTGTCTTGTTTTCACTGTTTTGTTTTTGTTTTTTGTTTTTTTTTTTAAACTAAAGCTATATAAAGCTTGTGGATTAAACAGAATAAATTTCTAAATTTAAAAATATTGGCCACTCACTTTTACTTACCCATCTCAATAATGCAGGAAACTTATCTTAGAAATCTTACAGTGCCTATATGTTTAACCCCTTGGCACCTTTGGCAGCGTGAGGGTTGGGCAAGGGAAATACAAGGTGATGAGATTGTCTTGCCATCTTTATGTTAATAATGATAAGTGCTGTGAAGGGAAAGTGAAGTGAGATTGGAACTATATAATGGACAGGACAAGTCAGCCAGGCACAGGGGAAGAGTTGAGTTTCAGGCAGAGCAAACAGTATCTGTGTATACCCCTAGGCAGAAGGAGCCTGGCACATTCCAGAAAGTGAATGAAGGCTATGAAATGACTGGAGCATCCTCCCTTGATCATGAGTGGGGTGTGTGTGTGTGTGTGTGTGTGTGTGGGTGTGTGGGTGTGTGATGTTAGGCTACGAATGACTAGAGCACCCTCCCTTGATCATGAGTGGGTGTGTGGGTGTGTGTGTGATGTTAGGCTACGAATGACTAGAGCATCCTCCCTTGATCGGGTGTGTGTGTGTGAGTGATGTTTGGCTCTCCACAGGCCTTTGTTGTATTTAAGATTTAGCAGGAAAATATAATTTGAGGAATCTTGGGAACTGATAACATTGTATCGTAAAACAGCATTCGAATAAAAGAAGGAAAGGAATTTTTGACAAGTGAATCTAAGCTTACTTAGCAGGTTGACACATGAGCAGCTAATTTGATTATAATTTCTGGTAGTTGAAGCAAAAAGAGAAAGACAATGCCTACATATCTCAATTTCAGGAAAACTTAGGCAGAAGGTGGTTGCTGCTGACTTAAGCCTTCCAGTGTGAACAGACCAATGAATCTCACAGGGGTACTTCTGTCTGTCTAGCCATTTACGCATTCATTCATTCAATCCATTGTTTCACGTACCGTTTATTCAGTATGCTTTCATTCCTCCACTTGACTGAACTGCTTGTCAAGGGTAGCAGTACCCTACACTTTACCAAAAATGAATAATCGGTTCTCTATCCTTTACTAGCCCTCTTGGCAGGATTTGACTCAATCGGTCACTCCTTTGTTAAAACACTTCCTTCTCTTAGGTTCAGGGAGGCAACACTGATTTCCCTTCTAGGTGCAACACTAGTTCCTCCTACTTCACTTGCTGTTTCTTTTATCTCTGGTGGATCCTTTCAAGTGGGAAGTGATGGAATTTGTCTTTGTCCTTGGTGGCTTTCCCTACATTTAATCCCTAGTCCTTTGACTATCATCTTTTTGTTGAATGTCAAGTTCTTTGCAGTCTAACCTTTCTCCTGACATTGACTCCTATCCAGCTACCTAGTTAACTTCATTTGGATGCCTAGAAGGCATACCAAACTGAACATGTCGTCTGATCTTATCCCTGTCTCATTTCAGTACCTGTCCCTCATTTACTCAAAATTGAGTTTATACTGTCAGTGGCTGTATTGTCCACCCTCTTAACACTCATGCACACAAGGCTATTCTGTTCCTGGCAGCCTGAGTCAGATCATAGTACTGCTCAAAACCCTCAGACTGCCCTTCCTTGGTAAAACCCACATTTCTTCCTGTGGCCTACAAGACCCACTAGCATCTGTACCTTCGTCTCCACTCCTCAGTCTGCTCAAACCACACCTGCCTCCCTGCTCTTCCTTGAACCAATCAAAGTTGATCTCTCTCAGGGTCTTGATATTCACTGTTCCCTCATCCTAGAAGGCACCGCCTCCCAATCTGGCCTGTTACTCGGTTTTCTTCAGACAGGCTTCCCTAACTTCCTCTCCTCCCTTTCATCTATAGCTATTATTACTACCTGAAATGATGTATTTTTTGGATCCCTAGGAACTTGGTCTTGTTCATGACTATGTCCTCAGCGCCTGGTACATTGTAGAAGTAGAAATGCTTGATGAGCAGATGAATAAATAAGCTTGACTGACCGGCACTGCTAGAGCTTGAGGTAGAGAAAATTAAGACATGGTGATTGCTGCCCTCTAGTATTTGCCTACTGGGGATAGAAACATGCAGACAACAATTTGGAGTGGACAGACGTGGAGTCTGGGAGACCAGGATTTCTATTGGAACTTTCTAGGGTGTGACCTTTATCAAGTTACTTGACCTCTGAGTGCTACCATTTCCTCTTCTGAGTTAAAAAGTGGCAGAATCCACCTCAGAGTTGTGTTTGAAGATTTAAATGTGTTAATGCATACAAAGCAATGATAGTATAAAGAGAAGTTCTGCTTTCTTAGCTAACGTAGTATGCATTCATTCTGTTAATCATGACAAATGTTCGTTTGGATGTCAGTAAGACCTTCATCGATCATAGCCCTATTCAATGTAATTTTTCCTTTTTTAAAAAAATAAAATTCATTTTATTTCTTTCCTTTTTAAAAATTATTTTCTTTAATCTTTTAAAATTCACCATTTTAAAGTGTGCAGTTCAGTGGTATATACATCACCGCTACCTATTCTAGAACATTTTTCATCACCCTAAAAAACTTCAGTCATTTCCCAGTCTCCTGACTGTCCCCTCGGCCCCAGCTCCTGGCAGCTACTTTATTTCTATAGATTTGTCTATTCTGGACGTTTCATTGGAATCATATAATACGTGGCCTTTTGCGTCTGGCTTCTGTCATTTAACGTAATGTGTTTAAGGTTAATCCATGGTACTTTTTTTTTGATCGCTTAGTAGTGTTCCCTTATATCCATATACCACATTTTGTTTATCCATTCATCAGTTGGAGATTTGAGCTGTTTTTACTTTCCAGCTATTATGAATAAAGCTGCTATAAACATTTGCATAGAAGTTTTTGTGTGGACATATATTCTTTTGGGTATATGTACGTAGGAGTGGGATTGCTGGGTTATACAGTACCTCAACATTTTAAGAAACTGCTAGACTATTTTCCAAAGCACCTATACCATTTTAACATTCTTACTAGAAGTATAGGAGGATTATAATTTCTCCACCTCCTTGCCAGTACTTGTCATCTGTCATTTTGATAGTAACCATCCTATTGGGTGTGAACTTACATCTCATTGTGGTTTGATACTTATTTCCCTGATGGCTAATGATGTTGAACATCTTTTCATGTGCTGTAAAGTGATCTGTAGAACTTTGATACCCATTGTGGAGGTTGGGGTTGGGGCACTGTGGCCAAAAAAAATTGTTCCCATTTTGTAAGGAGTATCAGTGAGAGTGTGACTTACTTAAGGTAGATGCAGGTCTAGTTAATATTGTCCCTCCTACCATCTGATAAATAACCCTATTTTTCTCAATATACCTCTCTGGTATTATAACAGTCACATAAGATGATGAATGTAGAAACAATGGCCAAATATGTGTGGTTCTTAGAAGAGCATTGGAATTAAGGATGCAGCTTACTACCCTGAAAAATCCAAGTTGAGACCCTGAAAATTGCAAGGCATTAATATTAATGTTGAGGACCTAACTCTGCTCATTTCCCTTCCGAAGACTTACCTTTTGAAAGCTTATTTGTGGTATTTTTCATTTGAAAGGCCCACCTTAGCTCAAACATTGCCTTTTGGCTCTTAGGAACTCAATTATTGTTGTACTCCTAATTGGTCTTCCATGCAAATCTGTTTTCAAAGGAAAGGATGATAGGATCTGAAATACAGGTTTTTTTCCAAAGCTCTTTGCAAAAAACCTTCCACATCTGTCAGTGTGTAGTAAGTTGGTTGGCTTTCACATCATAAGGAGTTTTTGCCAACGTGCCCTCTTAGTTCAGGTGTAGCACGGGAGGAGCTGATGTGCTGATTCCCAGGAGTGGGCCACGGGTACCTCTCACTAGACAGGGCAGTTGTAAACTCTACCTTAGGAAGTGTTTTGCAGACTGCTGATTGAGACTCAGTAGTGAATTATAAAATTGAATGGGTCACAACCAGCATTGAAAGAAAAAAATGAATGAGTAAATTTACATGTAAATCGCATAGAGTAGGTTAAGTATTACTTCATGAAGTGTGTGTGTGTGTGCTTGTGTGGGCATGTGTGTTTGTGTACTGGGCTCAATGTAAAATGTACTCTATGTGATTGATAGTCAACACAATGAAAAGCTACTACCTTACAGACCATCTGGTCCACCAGTTTTTAAACTGCCCTGCAGAGCCCTAAGTGGGGATAGTTATGATTCAGACTTTCTGTAGGACGGGGCCTACTAAAGTATGTATCTTTGTTGAGGGACTGAGAGATGATATGGATGAGCTTTGCAAGGACTTTGTTCTGCCTTTTTTTTTTTTTTTTTTTTTTTTTAAAGCTCCGGGCTTCCCTGTTGGATCCTGTTTGATAAAAGGATCCACAACCAAAACCCATGTGAAAACCTCCCAACCAGCCTAGGCTTTGTCGTCGACATGTAAAGTCTGAAGAGGGGAGCTGACTGCCCCGAGGTGAAGCCACGGCTCCCCAGGTGCCTTCCTGCCTCATCACTACCTTGGCGAGGGGGCAAGGGGGCTGTCGAAGGCACCCAGCTTCAGTTCTGTTGTAGTGAAAGGGAACAGACTTGAGAGTAGCCAGGCACCTCTGAAGCAGGGGTAGTAGCTTTCAGTGAACTGGAGATGTGGAGGGAAAAGCCCTAAATAGGAAAGGATGTGCAAGAATGGCCTTTGTGAACCCCAGAGTCCCACACGTAGGTTCTTTCAAGAACCTCCCTAGCACATGACTGGGTAGGGACCCTTCTAGCATTTTAAGCATGGAGGCTTCGGTTTACATAGCTAACAAGAGCAGAGAAGGGTGGTAAGCCTGATGAGTCTTGGGCCCTGCCCCGAGGGAGAAGCCCGCCCCGACCAGCAGGACCCACCCAGCCAGCCAGGATGTGCTGAACAGCCGCCAGGGCTGGTACCCTGCGATTTCCCACTTCCGTTCCTTTGCTTTTCTCTTGCTGTTCTCTGCCTGGGATATCCTTTCTTGTCTCCTAATGTCCAAGTTCTTTTTGGACTCATAAATGTGTTTAAGACAATGGTTTCAAATTATAAAAGAAAATACACACTCACTTTTAGAGAATTTGGAAAAAAAAATTGGCAATTGCATCATACAACCAAAGACACCTACCTTCCTGTCAACCCAACCCACACTGAGCTCCCCTCCTCTAATGGAACAAACCAGGTCCACCCCCCATATATGTATAAATACCTATGTAGCTACAATCAGAATCAAACCATGTATATAGTGTTTAATGCTCTTTTTTCCATTGGGCATATCATGAACTAAAATTGCAGAATACATTTTTAATGTTTTCTACAACCAGGAAATTTGGAAACTAGATAAAAGAGTGAATTACCCCATGCCAACATCAAAACACAGTTCTCCTTTCTGTATATTATCTAGTCATTAAAAAAAGTTAGATGCTTCTATTAAACTCTTGGCTCTAGAGGTAAAATGGTAATAATGGCACCCACCTCATAGGATTTTGAGGAGGATTAAATGAGATGAACAAAAGTCAGTCCCTGCTCCAGTGGAGCTCATGGTATATGGCAGGGGAGGGGGTGGGAGCAGAGGGGCAATCAAAGAGTGATAAGACCACATGACTGGGGACATAAAAGGAGGGGAGCCGTGCAAGGTAGCAGTGGTCCGTAACAATGTTCTGCAGCAGCGTCTCAGCCACAGACACACTGTGAGGCTAGGCAAGTGACTTCACCTCCCTCAGCCTGTTTCCAATTGTGTTTATGTGAAAATTTTTGCACATATAGATGTATTTTTGATGAGTTTGTATCAGGGGAGGTGAGCTCCACATCCTCCTCCTCCTCCTCCATCTTGGCCCACCTCCAGCCAGTTTCCTCTTCTGTAAAATGGGCATGGATTCAATAAGATGATGCATGTAAAGAGCTTAGCTCGTGCCTGGCGCATGGTGAGCGCTTCATCAATAGGAGTTAGGACCACATTTCATCAAATCTTGGATGCTGGCAATTGGAGGTTACACAACCCACCATCTGTTAAACTGTATCATCCCATTCGTTGTACACACTGTGATTCCAGAGAGGTCAAAATGTGGGGGAAGAAAGTCTTAACATTCCATATGATAATGTATATATATCTTACGTTATGTGCAATGTTATGCACAGAAGGGTCTGGAACGCTGAAGAAGGACGACACGACGCTCTCAGCTCCATTTTGTCTCACTCTCTCCTGTTTCAGCCGCTTCTCACTTTATTCCACTAGGTGGCGCCCTGGCCCTGGCTGCCTGCAGAGGAAGCTGACGCCCTGGAAGTCAGTCTGTCCCTCCCGCTAACCCTTTTTCTTTCTCTTTACCTTTCTCTCCATCCCTGTCTTTTTTCCTGGCAAGGAGAGGCCCGGCCGAGTGGTCAGAGGCTCTGGGAGGGTTCCAGAGCTTGAAGAACAGCCACAAGGCCCTTGCAGCTCACTGGCCCCACCCCACCCATCCCAAGTTGGAATTCCTTCAGGGCCAGCCCCTAGCTATCTCCAGTTCTCACTTGCATGCCTTTGGTGATAGGAAACTCACTACTTTATGAAGATCCTGTTCTGGAAGGAATCTATGTAATAGTCATGCACTCAGGCTCTGAAGATAAACCCAGCTGGGTTCTAATGTCCCAGCTTTGCTCCTTATTCAGCAGGTGACTTAAACCTGTGTCTGCTCTGTTTATGGGCAAACCCATGGGCCTAACACAGGAAAGACTCATCTGGCAAAATGAGTAAGTAAATGGACAAGCTCAGTTGCCCTCTGCATCAGTTTGCTCACCTGTGAAATGGGTAGATTATAGTATATATCTCCTAAGTTTGTGAGGATTAAACAGGATCTGAAACAGCCTTAGTCCCTGTGCCTGGAACATAGTTAAGTCTTCTATAAATATTTCTTTCATTTTCTTTTGGACCTGTGAATCACTCTACTATTATCTGAAAATTTTCTTTTAGAGCAAATTGAATCCTGATTCCTAAAACTTCCACACACA